TCTGGCTTCGACATGGTTCTCCCCTGGTCTAGAGTATGATTGTTTGCCAAATTAACTCTAAACGAGACAGTTGAAATTGCGAATGATTGATGGTAACGACAGACTTTTACTACTAGGGGAAAAAAATGGAGGTTAATTTTTTTCGCATTTTTTTTCTCGTAATTTAAAAATAAAAATAAAACTTTACCGAATGAGAACATAAGGATCTCGTTTATTTTTAAAACTAAAAAAAAATCTAGCCTTAGAAGATCAGCATACTACACTTAACCCTGCTAATGAGAACGTCTGTGAGTACTACGGTGAAGCTATGTACAGCTCTAGAAACGTCCATAGAACAAGGAAAGGGAGAAGGGTGGGGGATAATTGCATTGAAAAAAAGTAAAAAAAAAAGCTAATTAATAATGGAATATTATAAATACTGATACCTACCCGCTACAGAGAAAAAATAAATAAGGAGGTTTTTTTTTTTCCTTTAGAACAAGCTGCACAAACAAACGTTGTTGAAGAGGAAATACGGTAATAGTTTTAAGGAGGGCGATGTTGTAATTATGATCAAAAGAAACCCGTTTATAAACAGAAGAATGAGAAGCGGCGGTACGGCGGGGTCATCGAGTGCACATCCGGGCGCTAATACGCTTTTGAAGACGAAACATTTCTAACCCTCTTCTGTTTTTGTTCGCCGGTTTTTACCAAGATTAGGGTTAAAATTTACGTTAATCTCAATTCAGCTGATTTTTTTTTTGTTTTCGCGTAAAAAACATTAAAATTATATTCATTTTAGATTAGAAGTTGAATTTGTTTAAAAAGGAATTTAAACGAAAAATATGATTTTTTAAATAATTAAGAGATTTTTTTTTGTTGCAATTCTGACTTGCTAAAAATAGCTCTTTGCGGTTTAATTTTTAGAGAGCATGTTTTGGTAAGTCATAATATTCCGGTAATTAAAACATATATAAGCAGCCTCTGTAATAATGAGATCATTATCAATGCGCACGGTATATAATCACAGCGTGCCCATAACTTCTTGACTCAGCGTGACGCGATACGACGCACACAACGCGATTAAACCAGGCACCCGGAACAGCTTAACGGTTCGTTTCGCTATGACGAACTTTACTTTATTTAAAAATCGCCAGCCCCCGATTTTTATTTACCGGACAAAATTTATGTTCCCGAAAATTTGTAATATAAAAGAGTTCTATCTATAAAATGAGCTTTGTTTTATAAATTTACAAATGTGGGGGAATTTTTTATATATATTTAAAAAAAATTGCAGAGCCAATTATTGTGAAAAAGGAATACCGTCTAAAGCAACAGACGACGCCAGCGTGCAGAGAACCACACGCGCCCTCATCCGTCCTGGGCCAGCGAACAGCTGCAGTTAATTGCCGAACACTGAAAAGCGTTCACCGTGTCGTTTGTTTTATCTGATGATTGAAACTGGCACCCTGATTCGCCCCCTGCTCGATCAGAGCCAGACCTCAATGACGACTTGATGGGACGTGGCAGCAGTAGAAAAAAAAAGATCCCGCACGCTCCGTCATCGATTGATTGTTTCACCTAGCTCCATCTTTTTGTTCAGTCAGGATATTTAAAAACTACTTCACTCCTTATATTTACGCGTTGTTTTCGGTAAATACCACATCTGTTTTAGAAATCGGGTATTTTTTTTTTTTTTGAGTTCGCTATTTACCGCATGTTAACAATAACTGCTGTAGCAGAGGGTTAAACAAAAACGAGGTAACTGCTTTTTAAATTTTAAGAAACGAAATAATTAAGAGTTGTGTTTTCTTAGATTAGAATGTGGAGTAATTTTTTTTTACGTATTCATTATCAAATATGTTTTGAACATTGCAATGAACCAAAATTATTTACCAATTTTCTCATAGATTCAGACAAAATAAATATGAACAAAGAAACCAACTGCATTACAACTTTAAGAACATGCGATTGTTGTTATTATGGTGTTTAAGATTTTGAAATCGTAGACATAAGTCGACCCGACTCGAGTGCAACTTCGGTAATATATACCTTATTTATTATTTGATGGCCCGGGGGGGGGGGGGGGGGGGGGGGAATCTAAAACACGCCTCTGCAAACGCCTCCACCCTCTATTATCTTTCCACATAACAATTTTGGTGTGTGTGTGTGTGTGTGTGTCCCCTCCCCCCACCGCCCTGGTTTATTTTTGTTGTTGATATTTTGTTATTAAATAAGATTAAGTTATTAAATAAGATTAAGGGGCGTCCACTTTACGTTGTATAAGCCACGATTATTAAAATCTTATAACCAGTGTTTCTTCCAGACTTTTTTTCTTCGGGGGGGGGGCGGACACTTTTAAATCATATATTTTCTATATAAATCCCATATAAATCGTTCGGGGGGTGGTAGACTTTCTTCGAAGAAAGATGCCTGGAATAAACTCTGCTTATAACTAAACCGTCTAGTTATTTAGCCAATCTGGGAACACGGTTCTTTGGTTACAATGTCGCTAACTGGTTAATTAAATATTCATTAATTAACTATTCAAGTTTCCAACAACGATAGGACTGTCAATAGTTGATTGATAAAAGATTCGATGTTCTATACTGTTAATGCTGATGTTTTCTAGGGCTGCCAGTATTCTATTGTTAAACAGACACGATGCTCTATACTGACATAATGTCAGACAATATTGTCTAATCCCAAGAAATGTCTAGTGTCCAATCCTTTGATATTGAACGAATTTAACTCAAGGTGCCTAGTGGATGTTATTGATATGCATACTCCATACTTTTTTCTCCGGGGAACACCTGGAATTTTCGGGGGGGGGGGAAGGGGAGGAGGGGGCGGACTAAATTTTCCGGGGAGGGGGGTGGGGGCGGCGGACTCTGGTAAAAGTATATGTTTTCTATATACATTTCATTTCGTTCGGGGGGGGGGGGGGGGCTAGACTTACTTGTGGGGTGTGTGTGTGGGGGAGGGGGGGGGGTTGACTTTCTTGGGGGGTAGTGGAGATGCCTGGAAGAAACGCTGTTGATATGTTAAGTAACCCACATGGTGCATACAAATGTATGCTAAGTCACCGAGAACATTTAAACACGTTCATATTATTGCGAGCTTGGAAACCAAAAGAACAGATTAACTTGCCTACAAGCTGGTTGCCTTCACGGCCGCTGTTGCCCCAATCGTGATCCAAGCAGCGAACCGAAAATGATTTTTGTATCAAGCTATAATATCTATATATATATAATTCTCTTCTGGGAGACGCTAGAAAACAAGCTGTAAACGCGCTCCCTACCTCCCCACCCCTACATGGTCTTAGTGAGCTGTGTTCACTCTAAATGTTTACAAACAGAGCCGGGTTATGTGACGACTATTAGGGGCAGATAATTTAGTTTAAAACGATTTTAAACGTAGGGGGGGGGGGGGGGAGGGGGGAGGGGGGAGGGGAGGGGGAGGGGAGGGAGGAGGGGGTGGGGTGGGGAGGAAGGGGGGGGTTATGGTCCTTAACGAGCTACTTAAAGTGTTTTAAAGAAATATTTTCAGTGGCAGCGTTGGTACTGTCGAATTCACAAATTATGAATTACTGAAAAATAGAAAAAACAACAACTAAAATAGCGGCGTATGTTATGCCGCGGGCCGGCTCGTGTAAATTAAAGAACCTCGGTCATAACTTAAGCTAGTTCACGGGAAAACCGCTGCAGAGCCAAGATGTTTAGAACTTAATGATAACATGTAAGTGTTAAGATCGTCGTACGTTGTCCTTCAAAAATCGACCCTGTCCACATCTCACATAGTAACAGTAAGTAGACAAATTAATAAGCCTATTGTGCTATGACTCAACTTTATCCAGTTCAAATGCAGCAATTTTATTCAAGCTTGTAAGTGCATTAATCTCCGATGACAATGTAAGAGTATCTTTACTAAATTTAATGATAACAGGGGAGATAACAAGATTGTATACTAGTGATCGATATATCAGTTAGTCGTCGAGGGACTAAGTCGATTCAGATAATAATTTGTGTTCTAGAGATTGCACGCTACTGTTTGGGTTTTAAAGGCAATAATTTTAGTCGTATTTGTTGTCGACTTTATTAAAAAAACTATTACTAAAAGTAGAGGATAAACCAAACAAAACAAATGCACTGTGTTCGCTGAAGTAATACACTTACAATTTAGTACCACTTATTAGAAATAAAGAATGAAAGTTTACTTTATTATCTAATTTACATTCATCCACCTGCAAATGTACCCAATTTTAAAATAATGATTTTAACAGCATATCTATTTACTTGTGTATGAATAAGTTCAATTATGTAAAATTTGTTGATGTTGTTGTACTTGTAATGAAAAAGTAATATAATTTTGTAACTGCCAAAAAAAAATTATCTAATTTACATAACATTCAAAAACTTAAATTTAGAGAAAAAAATGCTTTAATATTTATTTTGATTATTTTACATTATTTATTTATTTATTTTGTGGCTAGATAAATGGGAACTTATTCTTGTATTATTTTCGTTTTTTGTGTAACGCGAATTCCGTCCCTTGAATATAACGCAGGTAAATGCTGGTCAAAAATTTGGAAGTTATTATTGAGAATTATTTTCGCTATCAAAAAAGGCTAAAAAATACAGGCTTAGGCACTTAACGATAGGAAATTAGCTGATTTTAAAAGGTTTAGGAGGTTTTGACTAATTCGGCACAGCAATATTAGGATTCTGTTTTATAATACAATTTAATTGTTATGAGATAAGGAAAATTTAAATTATCATTTAAGGAACATTTGCATTTGTAAAATTATATAAAAATTATGTATTAATTTGTAATCACATTCTACCTAGCGAAGCAGCAAATATAAATAATAGCTTTGTTGATTATTCTGACTAGAGACTAATCGTCTAAATCGCGATTCTTCGATTCGGCTTTCCTATTTTCTTCTTTTATATTTAAGCTAAATTATCTACATTAGGCCTAGAGTAGAAAAGTAAATCTGGCAAGTAAAGGGAGAAAATTGTAGCCAAGGGAAAAATAAACAAATGAAAAGTACTTAAAAGTAGGCCTACCGACCTACCGTATTGGTGTAGCTTATCATGATTTCATTTTAACCGTAAACTTAGACTGAATTTTTACTTACTACAGTCTTTATCGTGTAAACTTAGATAAACTGTTCTCTATTAATATTATAATAGGTTGGAACCTCAATGCAGGAATGAGAAACATTAGTCAGAAAATAGTCAGAAATAATAAAAATTTTTGGTAATCTATCGTTTTAGGTACGTAAAATCGCCCGCGACTAGTAATGTGAAAGACAGGTGACTCCTTGAATTTTAATATTTATTTCACATTTTGAGGAGGATTTATGTTTTGAAAAATACAAAAATGATTCCTTGTTTCATTTCTGTTTTTAAACAACTGAATTAAAACTTTTCAGTAATAAATGAAGACTAGCGATGTTTCCAACAGATGCAACCATGCTCATTTACTATAGCAGACATCTTGTTTAAGTTCTGTTTTTGCAAACTTATAGCGGAATATAGCGCGAGATTCGGGGGAAGGCAACTCTATTTTACAAATGGCTGCTGTTTATATAGGAAATCTTGCTCGCAAACACTGTGACTGCTGTTTATTTGTTTAAAGTTAATTTCTGGCCTATATTGATATATTTAGCCATTGATTTAGGTTTATTATTCATTTATCTATAATATTTGACACAAATATATCACAATATAGATCTACTTCTATTAAAGCCTTGACAGTGAGGTAACTTTTTCGCACATTTCTAGCCGCGGGCGATTTTACGTACCCAAAACAATACATTACCAAAATTTAAATAGATCTAGATCTAGAATCTATAATCAGAATCTAGATCTAACCACTCTAACTTACAGATGGCTGCTGTTTATATAGATCTAGCAGCAAACACTGCTTTTTAAAGTTAATCTGCCCTATAGACCTATATTGATTTTGATTTATTATTCAGTTATCTATATTTGACACAAATATATCATAATATTGATAATATACATCTATTAAAGGCCCTTAACAATGAGGCAACTTTTCGCCAATTTTACGCACCTAAAACTATAGATTATCTTATCTTGATTAGATTTATTAGTACTTTTAGTAGTTTTAGTAGATTCTACTAGATTTTTAGATCTAAATTAAAAAAAACAACAAAATCTTAAAGTTACAAAAATTTCAGAAATTCAATACTTTAAGAATTTGCGTTATACAAGAGCAAATAATTTGAAAATATTTTTTTTGCATTTCAGACTAAATTTCTGACATTTTTTTTCTGAAGTTTCACTTTAGTAAGACAAACTGATTCATATCTGTAAACCCCACTCCTCATTTATTTTTCGCCCCTATATATTTTTATAGACTTATTCTTTTGAAAAACAAGATCTAAGTGAGCCACGTTTGTTTACATTTACAATGATAAAATGCTGAAAAAAATGTTTTTGGCATATTTTCAAAATTTAGTTTACTATACTTAAAACATGAACAATTTTAAGAAAAGTCAGACATAACCACAGATCCAAATTTTTTATAATCACAACAGTTATATTAACACTGCACATTATTTTTTAAAATAGTTATGTAACAAAAAATATTTATAAATATATGGTATCACACAACATATTCCTGCTGGATGCTACTAAGCAGCATCTGCCTTCTCTTGCTATAGTATACGAGTGACATTAAAATATGATTATAATTTTCTTTTTCTAAATAAATCACAGAAACTGAATTTTTTCGACAAAAAAGATGTCTCAGTATACTCAAGAAAATGGACCTGCTGATTATTTTCCTCCAATTGCGGCACTGTTCCAAGGTGGGATAGTTCCGAGCTCAGTGGCCCTGCAGAGCCTGATCGCTGACATAGATGGACAGATGGATGCCAACACTAAACAGTACGTATGACATTCATGCCAACACTAAACAGTATGTATGACATTCATGCCAACACTAAACAGTATGTATGACATTCATGCCAACACTAAACAGTATGTATGATATTCATGCCAACACCAAACAGTACGTATGACATTCATGCCAACACCAAACAGTACGTATGACATTCATGCCAACACTAAACAATACGTATGACATTCATGCCAACACTAAACAGTATGTATGACATTCATGGCAACACCAAACAGTACATATGACATTCATGCCAACACTAAACAGTACGCATGACATTCATGCCAACACTAATCACTTAGTATGAAATTCAACTCAATGACTGAATCTTGAGTTGTCTTATGTTAACACTAAGCAGTATGTATGACATTCACCTCATGCACTAAACAGTATGTATGACATTCACATCAAGGACTGAATCTTGAGTCGTCTTTCTGTATTCTGTTTTAGAGTCTTCATCTTCATACAGCTTTCTGAAATTGTTTAATTAGAGATAGTATAATCAGTTTAACTAGTGATGTTTGTGTATGTACCGAAACTGTTACATAAAAAAGACAGATTGATTTACTAGCAACTCTTGATAAAATACATGTAGACCAAGGAAACCAAATAGATCTGTTACTTTAAATCACTTTACTTTAGTAGAAATCACATTTAGTCATGGCATGTAAATACATATTTGAACCTGGAATTATTGCTTGCCGGCTAACAATATGACAATATTATTGTAAATCTGTACAAATAAGCAGACAAACACATTTAATTTCATTTCCCCAAGTGGGCTGTTTGAACAAAAAGTAAAGTTAAAATGTTGTTCATTACTTTTCAATTTACTTCATACATTTTCCCCCCTTTTCCAGGCTGGATAGTTGCTTGCAGTCAATCCTTAACACTGCCAACAATCTGCCCAGTAATCAAACCTTCTCCACACCAAAAGACGCACTTGGGTACATGTGTAACAGCCACACACTTGAAAAGGACACGTGTTACGACCCAGAAACAGATGAAGCTGTGGCTATTATCATGGCACTGGTGAGTTTAAAAAAAAATGTTAAGTTCCATTTCGAACCTGGTGGCCCACAGGACAGGTGAAGTAGAGTTCACCTGTTTTTTTTACCTTGGCATTGAAGGGATAGTGTCGTCAACACTATACCAAGCTGTCTTTACTTTCCCTAACGATAGTCAGGTACCGATCAGAGGTGGGTGGATTTACAGATGTGCTATGACTCTAGCCAGAGACTCGAACTTGAGACCATGCCATCCTACTGGCAAGTTTAAAAACTCTAAAAGAACCTGGCTAGCATCCCCACCCCGTGTATTCACACCAAGCACGGCTTCTTCAGAAAATACTTTGTAGACCTACCCCTAATTATTTCATACAATTTTTTTTAAACTGTTGATCATCTTTAAGTGTTTCAGTATAACAGATTTCTTGTCACGATAGAATGTTGCTAATAAAGTAAAAGTTAAGTACAGTTTCCCTTTCAGACCTAACTATTCATGGGGTGAATGAAGTAGAGTTCATGTTTCTTGACCTCAACATACGAAGAGTTGTTGTGGTTAGCACTATGCTCAGTCAGCTTTCCTTTCCTAATGTGAGACAGGTACTCATCAGACCTTCGGTCTAGAATTGATCGAGACCCGAACTCGATAACATCAGACTAGCAGTCTAGTGTTCTACCACACCCACACCATAATGTTGCTAAAAACAAAGAGTTTCTTTTGTCTTCTTGTGACAGTGTGATTCCCTTGAGAAGAGACCAGGAACTGAAGAATCAATCCTGCAGGAGATTTTAAGCCTGTCCTCTGATGAGGGCCTGTTGTTACCTCTAAGGTGCTCACAGTTGGCTGCAGTGAGCCATTCATCCAGTTCACTCAACATCCAGCTGGACACTGGGGACCAGGTACTCACACTACACTATAAGCAAGTTCCTCCCTCCACCAAGCATGTTCCCTCCACCAATCAAGTTCCCTCCACCAACCACGTTCCCTCCACCAACCACATTCCCTGCATATATCCAGTTCCCTCCACCAATCATGTTCCCTCCACAAACCAAGTTCCCTCAATCAATCAAGTTCCATCAATCAAGTTCCCTCAACCAACCACATTCCCTCCACCAACAAAGTTCCCTCCACCAACTATATCCCTCCACCAAGTTCACTCCATTAATCCAGTTCCCTCCATCAACCAAGTTCCCTCCACCCAGTTCCATCTATCATGTTTCCTCCACCAACTAAGTTCCCTCCACCAACCAAGTTCCCTCCACCAACCAAATTTTAAAGCCAGGCACCCGTCATAGCTTTAACACACATTAATCTATTCAAAAACTTCGAGGCACAAAATTTACTTTTTTATTTCTACTTTTTATCCTACCTAGCTTATAGAAGGTAGATGGGCAAAACTGATCCAAAGCATCCAAAAGCATATTGTGTCAGAGCTGTTAAAGATACCCACACTAGGGCAGAATGTCAGATGCCCCTGGGCTGTTATTGAGCGACGCCTCGACCTGGTTGGAGGCTTAAGGTCCTTGGCTACGGACGACGAGGCGTGGGTGACCTATCGTAACGTACGCGGCCAGCAGCTGGAGCAGCTGTTTAACTCCCTGCTGTTGGACAGCGACTCGGAGAACGTCAACTACAAGGAGCTGTGCTGTAACTGCGAGGCTGTGGCTGACAGGATCATGGAGATGATTGAAGAGGATTTCTCCGTGTTGTGCACGGGCGTCTTTAAAAAACTTGGAGGTCTGGTTTCTTCATTTTTATAAAAAAAAACTTATGTTTCTTATAGTGTGGTGTAGTTATGGCCTGATTCTTAAATATTTAGAAGAATTGTGTTAGTACTTTTCAAATATACATAGCTGTCTTTTGTAGAAATATTTACACACATTTTTAAAATCCATAGTGTAGTAATACATGCAAGCATTTATCGCTAAGTTCTAAATAAGTTGTAGAATTCTGTTAATACTTGTCATAGACATGTATTTATTTAAAATAAAAAAAAATGGTTAAAATGCTTTATATAGTATTGTGTTGTAATAGAAATGAAATCTACATGAATGGCCTAATTGTACACTGTATTTAGTACTTCTAATAGATATGTAGCTATTTTTTACTACTTAGGCTGTAATTAGTACCGCTACTTTAATTTGCCTAATTGAATTTAAAAAATGCTAATTGTTAATTTGGTATGAACTCTGCACCAATCATTATAAGTTTAATTTAGCTACTTAACATAAGGAAACAACATAAAATGATGTAACCTTTAAACAACCCATTGCATTAAGTTTTGTTTCATGCTAATATTGACTTCTTTCTAAAGGAACCTACAGTTATATCTTATATACTAAATATTGACTTCTTTGTAAAGGAATCTACAGGATATTACATGACCTGTACCTGGAGAAATACTCAGATGAGATGTCTGTCCTTGTGGAGGAGATAGCTGATGACATCAGAGAGTTCAATAAAAAAGTGGTCAAAGCATCCAAAAGTGACCACGGCCTAGCCAAGTCTGAAGCTGGTGGCAGCAAAGCTCCACAGCCTAAAGCTGGGTCAAGGGGAAGTTTAGGTGGTCAGTATTTCATTTTCAATAAATTTTAGGTGGTCAGTATTTCATTTTATATAAAGCTTATGTGGTCAGTATTTCATTTTCAATAAATTTTAGGTGGTCAGTATTTCCTTTTCAATAAATTTTTGGTGGTCAGTATTTCATTTTCAATAAATTTTAGGTGGTCAGTATTTCATTTTCAATAAATTTTAGGTGGTCAGTATTTCATTTTCAATAAATTTTAGGTGGTCAGTATTTACTTTTTACTTTTTAGAAAATGTTTAGGCGGTCAGTATTTCATTTTAAGTAAAGATAAGGTGGTCCATATTTCTTTTTAAATAAATTTTAGGTGGTCAGTATTAATTTTTCAATGTAGATGAAATTTAGGTGGTCAGTATTTCATTTTAAATAAAATGTTGGTGGTCAATATTTCATTTTATGTGAGGCTTTGAAAGTCAGTATTTCATATTAAATGAAAAATTAGGATTTCATTATAATTAAAGGTTAGGTGGTTATATTTTTCATCTTAATTAAAGGTGGTGTGTATTTCTTTTTATTTTAGGAGTTGATGGTCAGTTTTTTTATTTTAAGTATGCTATGATATGTTAAGCCAAGTTTGGGTGAGGGCTAATTGATAACAAATATTTAATGTTGATTTAAATTGAATTCATCATGTTCATAGTCGTCTGGCATTTAAAATTTGGTGATATGTATTAATAAGAAATATTTAGTTGAAACAATAATAATTTCTGTAGGCATTTGTTAAAAAGTACACAAATATTTGCACCAGATTTAGATTAGTTTTTGTTTCTCTACTTCAATATTTTATGTCACTGTTCAGCGACTTCTAGCGCCGACCTGTGGGCATCCAAAACACCAACTCTGTCCCAGAGCCTAGACACCATGTTTCTTGCTTCAAGTTATAAAGTAGACAAGGAGAAGACTGCTGGGCCTAGATTACAAGTAAGTTTACTTTTTGCTGAACTGATGTGGACCATAAAAAGTTGGGTTTAAAGATGCTGATCCACACAAAAATGGGGTATTGAAATTTGAGTTCTAACAGAAATATTATTATTTTTGAGACCTGACTATCCACAAGAGAGGTGAAGTAGAGTTGTTCACTTTTTAGACAGCAGCAGATGTTTGTGTGGCTAGTAAATATCAAAGTTAATAGTTTCATCTAAGAGAATGACCCTAAATCAAACACAGTATCTCATAGAGTTGAATGTACATCTTATAAAGAACAGTTTTTACTATTTATTTTTAATAGTTTCATCTAAGAGAATGACCCTAAATCAAACACAGTATCTCATAGAGTTGAATGTACATCTTATAAAGAACAGTTTTTACTATTTATTTTTCTTGTAGTAAAAGTAATCACTTAATGATTTATTTTTCCTCTTAAATACCTGTTTTTAAATACTTTTTTTATGAAGGATACCTTTATGATAAATTTGTGAAGACGGCTGGTATTTGAAATATTTTTCTAATTTGTAGAAGCAATCAAGTATGGCCTTCCCTAAAGACTGCATCACAGCTTTGAAGCACATAGCCCTGTCTCTGATGAAGCTGGAAGATTTTCTGGACAGCCTGGCCAAAATGACCTCGTGGGATGTCACTGGCCTGCCCACCACCAAGAAGGCCAAGAAAAAATCCAGTCTAAGAGGTGAATTAATATTGTAATTTTATTTGACTTGACATCTCTGTGATTATTGGTTGCAAAGCATCTGGTGCTCTGTGCAGCGCCACTTTGTTTCAACTGCTTTTAGTTGTTGCACTTTTTTAAATCACACACTGGTTTGTTAGGTAACTATCATAGAGGCAAGTTTGTCAGCTTACCACATTTATTGTAGTACTTAACACTAAAAGAAAAGCATAGTTATTTAGAAGTCTTGTCAAAATAAAAATCTGTTTTATCTATTTTATAATTTAGTTAACCATTTGTATGGCAAAAGTGTCCTTTTGACCAGCTTCTTTCATTCCTTTCTGCCTCTTTCAGTATCTCATATAGTGGTGAATCCATCTATTATCTGTTGCTTTCTTTTACTAAGTATAAACATTTTTGCAAGCCCTGCTAACCATTCTGATAAGCTTTGGGTGCCACAAGTGTCCTTTTGACCAGCTTCTTCCATTCCTTTCTACCTCTTTCAGTATCACATATAATGGTGAATCCATCTATTATCTGTTGCTTTCTTTTACTTAGTAAACCATTCTGCTAGACCATTCTGATAAGCTTTGGGTGCCACAATTGTCCTTTTAACCAGCTACGTCCATTCCTTTCTGTCCTGTGTCACCTTCAGTGTCTCACCCATTGGTAAACCCATCCAATCTTTGATCATTTACCTAGTACGACAAATTTTCATGTGCTACATCATTAGAGCTGCAGTCTTTATATCATCATCTTTTCCCTTACATGCCCAAGACACTTGAGGACGTCACAGACATCTCCCTCCACTTTTTTCTGTTCCTGCAATTTTCCTGGCAGTCCCCATGAGTTTTTGTATATGATTCCTATTATCTTTCTTCAAACATGTTGCAGGTGTCCTGAAGCCTAGCTCAAGCCCAGAGATCAAGAGACACTCCCTGAATCTTGGCAGCAGTTTCAGCAGCAGTGACACGACTTACGACTCCTCCACCCCCACCATATGATTCCTATTATATTTCTTTAAACTTGTTGCAGGTGTCCTGAAGCCTAGCTCAAGCCCAGAGATCAAGAGACACTCCCTGAATCTTGGCAGCAGTTTCAGCAGCAGTGACACGCCCTACGACTCCTCCACCCCCACCATTGTTCTACCAACAGCGCAACCTTCTGACAGTACACCACCACCTAAAGGTACCACCATTCTTATATTTGTTTGCTGTATGAGACTTGGGGCATTTGGTTAATTTTATTGAGAGAAATCTTTACAATCTACCTAAATATGGCTCCATTTTCTAATTGACCATTGGATAAGCTTATTGGAAATCCAAGCAAAAAGGCTGGGTCCTAAGTTGAGAAGAGCTAGATGTTGCCCATGTATCAGCCTCTAAAATAAATAATTAAGTTTACTTTCAAGGTAAGATGTTGGTCAGAGGAAGCAGAGTCTTTCTGTTTCTGATCCGTATGACCCATTCACATTATCTACTCTCCAACTTATGCCTAGTACTAATAAAGCTGGGTGAACTCAGACACACCTTACATACTTAGTTGTAACCAAATGCAAGACTCTCTAGTTAGCAGTCATGCACACCATGGCCAAATCTTAACCAAATTATTGTCATTGTTGTTGCTTCACACAATTGATCCAGTATCCAGCCCCAAGTTGAGTTGTAAGCACAGTGTTGTTGTACATTCAGTGGTCGATGGGGCAGGTGAAGTAGAGTTCACATGTTTCTGTTACTTTGGCACATGAAGGGATAGTGTGGTCAGCACTATGCCCAGAAGCAATTATGTTCCCAAATATGAGTTAGAAATCCATCATAGCTCTGGGACATTCTACTGACTTGAACCTGAATTTTAAATCCAGACCTTTGGATTAGCAGTCTAGCACTCCACTGCTGGGCCACGCCATCCCCTATGTAAGCACTTTGCTGTTGTACCTTTCAGTGGTGGAGAGAAACAGATCTGAAGACAAAGTCCGCTGGGACTGGAGACTCATCTTTAAAAAAATCGCCTCCGGTCTGGCCACGGCCATTGAAACCAAACTGGACATGACCATGTCCTCTACCCTATCCCATGAGACCACCTACTGGACAACGGAGCATGTTCTGGAAACTTCTGAGGTGGATTTTGCCCAGTTCAGTGATAGCATGGACCACCCTTGGATAGTGTCAAAGGTAAATTAATTAGAACTACATTTGCCATAATAATTAAACCTAATCATTCAAAACATCTGCAACAGGTAGTATTTAAACCTACATTGAAAAACTATATAAGATCTCTTTCACATATTAGGGGTTGTCCATAAATAATGTCACACTTGTAGAGGAGAGGGGGTCCGTATTTTGTGACGGTGTGTGATGAGGGGGAGGGGGGTGTTCAGATGGTGTGACGTCACTTTTTTCGTTATAAAAAAGCAATGTTAGAAAATGAGTTTTAGCCATTATTTCGCATTTTAGAAAACAGTTTTAATAAATTATTATAGAAATTGATCAAAATACTCTATGTTGACAGTGTTCTGGCAATATTTTGGAAAAATATCGATGTTTTGAGGGGGGTTGTAGGCTGAGGTGTGACATCAATTTAGGGGGGGGGGGGGGTCTGGCTTTTTGTGACGACGTGTGACGGAGGAGAGGGGGGAGGTAAAAATCGTCCAAAAAAGCGTGACGTCATTTACGGATGACCCGTTAGTGATTTAAACTACATCTAAACCTATGTAAAACAACCTATATATGATATTATTTAAACCTTCATTTAAAACTCAATCTTAAGCAGAATAGTGTATAAACTTACATTTCAACTACATTATATCAAACATTTGAAACATAATATCATTTAAACCTCTAAAAACATCTGACCCAGGATACTCAGGAGTTCATCAATGCTGTAAATGAGTTGCTCCCCCTTGCTCGAGCTGGGATTGAAGGCTGTCTTATTCCAGTCAGAACTGCCTTCATTGACTCCATTGGGATAGCTGTCAAAAATTTTAATCTTCACTGTGTCACTGTAAGTTGGCTTTTATGTCTGAAGTTTTTGTTTGGATTTTTAAAAATTATCACCCTAATGACAGGTCACTGACAGCTGACCTGAAGAAGTCAGCCATTGACAGGTGAACTTTGGACATTGTCAGTAACTGACAGGTAAACTTCAGACAATGTCAGTCACTAATAGGTAAAGTCTGGACATTGTCAGTCACTGACAGGTAAAGTCTGGACATTGTCAGTCACTGACAGGTGAACTTTGGGCATTGTCAGTGACTGACAGGTAAAGTCTTGACATTGTCAATGACTGACAGGTGAACTTCAGACATTGTCAGTCACTTACAGATGAAGTATGGACATTGTCAGTCACTGACAGGTAAAATTCAGACATTGTCAATGACTGACAGGTGAACTTCAGACATTGTCAGTCAGTGACAGATGAAGTATGGACATTGTCAGTCACTGAAAGTCTGGACATTGTCAGTCAGTGATGGTTACGGTTGTGGCATTGTCAGTCATCAACAGATAAAATTTTGACAATCAGGTGCTGACAGGTAAACTTGTAGTCAGTCACTGACAGGTAAACTTGTATTCCCAGCTGAGCAAAGATGTCCCCCAGAAGGCCAGCTTGAAGCAGCTCCTGATCATCATCTCCAACGCTGTCCACATCAAGAACTGCCTCACCCACCTGGAGAATGTGCTCTCAGTTGAAGACAACAAGTAAGAAGTTTAATTTAATATCCTGTTTAAAATTTGGTTTCTCACCTCTGAAGAGTTCGCCTGTTTTATTTTTTTGTTGAAATTTTGTTTTCAAAATTTATTTAAAAAGTATGAATTATTGTAAATTAATTTAAAATTTTAAGATAATAAATTTCTATTTTAAAGAAGTAATAATTTTGTAATTCAAACAAAATTAGTGTAAACTGCTAGACATTAAATATTTTTAAAAAGTTTACTAAGTCAATAAAGTTTCCATGGTAACCGATGTTTACAGCAAGAAGTTCATGTCCAGCCTAATGAAGCAATATGCTGACCTGGTGGATGGGCTGGGCAAGTATCTCTTGCAGGTTCACCATCAGCTCATGTCCACGGCCGTCCTGAGTGATGCAGATAGTGGGAGCTGGACTGAGATTAAAGATTTCTATGAGGTATGTTGCACAATATTTTTAATTATTTTATATATACATACAGATAGATGTTGGCCTAATAATAATATATATCTATTTTTATATGTATATATATATATATATATATATATATATGTATATATATATATATATATATATATATATATATATATATATATATGTATATATGTATATATATATATATATATATATATATATATATATATATATATATATATATATATATATATATATATATATATATATATATATATATATATATATATATATATATATATATATATATATATAATTTAAAAAATATTCGGAAATAGAATTAAAGAATTATGTGAATTTAACCCTTTGAGCCAGACAAGCTGAAAACCGGTTTCAAAATTAGGCGTATATATCCGAAAAGCCGGTTTTACGGCCCGATGATCTAGCATCATAGTCCTAGCTTTTTAGTGCGGGTTTATGATTCTAAAAATATATTTTGGGGAAAGTTGAAAGTGAAAGGTTTTGCATTTTGTAAAATACATTGTCAACAAAAAAAATCTTTTATTTTATATTATTTTATTATTTGGTAAAAAAAAATAATTTCCTAGTCTTGCTGAATTGTTGTTTGATACTGAGCCTTGATACCAAATTTGGCTTGATTATTTCAAATGGTTCAAAAGTTGTAGGCAAAGTTAGAAGCAGGTAAGTGAAAATTGGTTTGGGCCTGGGAGCTCAGGAAATGGGAGAAATTAGGCCAGGGAGGCCAGGGTTCAAAGGGTTAATATTCTAAGCAGTTAGACAATATATTATTTTTTAAATTTGATTTTGAATAAGTAGCTACTTTTTATTTAGTTAAAGAAGATCCATATAACAATGAGTTAAAACTAATAATTATGAATTACTTCATGTATTTCATACACTTCAATAAAAGTATCATTAATAGGCTGTTGATGAATTTTTTAATATATATTTTTGATCAAATAAATAAGATAACTATGTAATTAAACCGTAATATGCAACTTCTTTTTATATGCAAGCTAACCAATTTTTTTTCTTTTTTATAAGAGACATTTTAAAGAATAACAAAAATCAAATATAATATAAAAGTATTTTCACCTGTCTGTAATAAACACAGGATGAGCGCTGCTCCTTCACCATCCAGATGTGGAACTTTTACCTGCGCAGTGTGCAGCACGACATGTGGACAATCCTCCCACCGAAGTTGGCCCACAATTTGTTTGGTTCCCTCCTTCAGGACTCGCTGCTGATCCTCATGCAGAGGTACTCGAGGGTCAAGCCCAGCTTCCGCAGGGTCAAACAGTACAGGTACATCTTGTGAACTGTCAATGGTAGAAATAATAATAATACTGTAATATGGTATAGTAATAGCAGATTAATTCAACTGATTGGAGGGTCAAAGCCACTCTCTTGGGAATAGTTTATAGTAAAAGGTGATTTAGTATTTCTCTACACTGTATTAAGTACAGTAATAGGTAAAATGTTATTTAATATTTCTGAACACTGTATTAAGTGCAGTAATAGGTAAAATGTAATTTAATATTTCTCAACACTGGATTAAGTGCAGTAGTAGGTAAAATATAATTTAATATTTCTTTCTCAACACTGTATTAAGAGCAGTAGTAGGTAAAATGTAATTTAATAATATTTCTCAACACTGCATTAAGAGCAGTAGTAGGTAAAATGTAATTTAATATTTCTTTCTCAACACTGTATTAAGAGCAGTAGTAGGTAAAATGTAATTTAATAATATTTCTAAACACTGCATTAAGAGCAGTAGTAGGTAAAATGTAATTTAATATTTCTTTCTCAACACTGTATTAAGTGCAGTAGTAGGTAAAATGTAATTTAATATTTCTCAACAATGTATTAAGTGCAGTAATAGGTAATTCAAATGATTCAACCAGTAAGAGGGTCAGAACCAACCTTCTACCAGGAAAGATTTTAAAATAAAATTTGATAAAATATATATTCTAAGCCCCGTGGGTTGATACACGGGTCAGGTAAAGTTTAATAATGATAAAATAATGTATTCAACTGCCACGTGAAACTACATAATGAGCAGGATATCAGTTTTAAGTAATGATGAAATTAACAGTAGCGTGTACAGCAAGCTGTAATAAGTTAACATTATGCACACAGTGTACAGCCTGTAATAAAATTACTTGTTAAACACAGGGTAAACTGCAAGAGCTGGCAATGAATTTATAAATGCTTTTACTATCACATGTACCTTGGTGTTAAAATTGAATGCACATGTAGGGTCAGGCCTAGGATCCTCAGGGTTACACAGTTTAAATACTCTTGGGTACCTGGATGTTAAAATGTTTTTTTAATTAACTGACGCAGCGATACTCAAAAGTTGAGCCATGATTCATTATTGTTAAGCCATTTGTTTCTAATACGGAGGTATGTTACAATGTAAGTCTTAGAAGAGGCTAAAATGGTCACCAGTTATATACATGTACAGGATAAAATATAAGTACATTTTCATATCATATTTGTAATGGTTGTCTTTGAATGTTCTTAATGTATAAACTATCCTTGTTGGCTGATTTTAATATGATTTGGACACCTATTTATGAGAAGGGTTTTAAGGGGGAAAACCACAACAGATTTTCTTAAAGCACAAGGCTGATCTTTAAGAACCTAGGTTTTTAAACCTATAGGATGCTTAATGGTAGTTTGTGCATAATATTTCAAGCAACTAACTAAACAATGTTACATAATCTCAGTAAAAAAAAAAATTTAAAAAATGGAAACTGACTTGCTTGCAAGGCATCTTTTGTTGCAAACATACCCCAGGTCAGTTTCTTTAGATTAAAACAGTTTGGGATAAAACCTGCTATTTTTGTTTATTAATATTTCTTTATGTTGCCTCCGGTTTGACGCTGACTGAGACCAGGCATCCGTAGTGTTAAACAATCATATAAAGTTGCCTTTCTTAATTCTCCTAATCATGTTCTATTGTCATGTGAGCTTACTATCTCTCGCAAATCTGAAATCAAGGATGAGACTTTTTCTCTGATTTTATTGGCAGGTCTAATTTGTTTTACAATATTTACCTTCTTGTTTATCTTATTTGATGTATTGTTTTGAAAAATTCAGAATTTTGGATGAGCCAATTCAGGGGCCACAAATTAATATCCTTATAAAAAGGGATATCATGGTCAGAAGGTAGAACTTACTACTGCTCACCCCAAAGTCTTGAGTTCGTATCCCGGGCTTGAGTCTGTAGGACCTAATTACCCCTTCATATGCTGAGGTCTCTGAAACAGTTGAAATCTATTTCACCAGCCCCATGGACAATCAGGCTTCAAAAAGATACTAACATACATTCCCACAGAAATTGGTTCTATGTATATTACACTAACAAAAACAATAGCCTACAATTCCTTTTTCAGTGGTTTTTAAAATTGAATGATATGTGTATGTATGTTAATTTCTCTCTACCTTTATATAGTTTTACCATCACAAAACAAAATACTGATAACTATAGAAAGATTGCCCTGTTGAAAAATTGAATTTTTATGTTGAAATGTAATTTGTACCAGCTGCTTCCCCTTATAAATTTAAAACAATCAAGGGAGACAACCTCTAAAAATGTTCTGGAAAGTTGATAAAAATAAGAATTTTATAATAATTTTAAAAGAATAATAATTATCTTTGCTCATTATTTTATTCAACATGTGTGTTGTAAAACAAGTTTTTAGATTTTTATAGGTTTAGATTTTTAAATTAACATTTGATGCTAGTTGAAATTTAAACCTGTTAGCTGCTTTAAATACTTTATTGTTATAGATTTAAAATTTACCAAATACCTTCAATTTTGCAACGTGATCGTGGGTGCTTAGATAATCTATTGTTTTAATATGCATATACATACTTACACCAGGGGCGGCAACCTGCGGCTCTTTTGATATCAAGATGCTGCTCTCCAGCTCCTTGCACAAATACTAATAAACTTAAAAAAAAAAAATATTTGAAATAAAAAAATGTTAGTGGCTCTTTAAAACCAGGGAAGTTTTGAAAATTGTAACTTTTGGCTCTTCCGCTTCAAAAGGTTGCCGACCCCTGACTTACACACACACACATGTTTTTTTTAAATTTTTATGAATTATTTTTTTATTATGTTTCCTTAGGTTGATGTAATACTTTTTCTTGTGTGATGATATAGTCTTATGTGCTGCTATTTCAATCCATTTCAATATTTAAGACAAAATCTTTTCACCTACTTGAAAACTGATGTCCACTTACCTCCCATACCTGGTGTGTCTCTTTCAGGTATGACATCACCGCAGTCCTGTTATGTGTGTCCGACCACCTTCTGAAGGCCTGCTCGTCTGTGTCCCAGTACCTTGACCCTGGACACAACGAACTCCCCCACTACAGCATCCACAACCAGTGTTCTAACCTGTTGGCCATGTTAGCCATTGTTTCATCACCAATAGAGACTTTATACAGGTTAGCCATTGTTTCTAGAGACTTTATACAGGTTAGACATTGTTTTATAGAGACTTTATACAGGTTAGTTATTGTTTCATCCCCTAAAGAGACTTTATACAGGTTAGACATTGTTTCATCCGCTATAGAGACTTTATACAGGTTAGCCATTTTCATTCCCTATGTATCCCTTATACAAGTTAGATATTGCTTTATCCCCTACATAGACAACCATTGATGTAACCAGAATTACATTTACTTTTGCTAGCAGAGTCCATTAGATTTACCTATTTGTATGTTTAGATTTGTATAGTCAAGTTAAGAGTGCAGGTTTACTCACCCGAAATTTTCAAGTTTGGTACAAGTTTTTTTGTCTTGGACTTGAGTCTCACCCACATCAAGTCTGCTGTATGACCTCGAGTCTCACTCTGATCTAGTCTTTTGTATAACCTTGAGTCAGCTTGATGAAGTCTGCTGTATTTACCTGTGTATCAGCCAGCTCTCACTGTCTGACTAAAATAAAGTTGGCTCAACATAGTGCTGACCATACAAATGTATTGTAAAAGTAGTTCCTTGATAGAGGTTAATTTTATTTTCAAGTAAACTTAGATGTTTGTTGTTAATCATGAGTTAATCCATTTTGTCGAGGTAATGTTCAGGGTTTTCAAGCGTGGCTATGTTAATCATTAGTCAATCCATTTTGTTGAGGTACTGTACAGGGTATTCAAGCATGGCTATGTTAATCATGAGTTGACCTTCCAACAGGGTATTCAAGCGTGGCTACAATCGCAAGATTGAGAGTCAAACAAGCGGAGATCTACAAGTAGGTTACAACTCTCATTGGTTGCACTACATTTGGCCCTCGCTGATTCACTCAGGGACTAAACAGTAAGTGATTTAAGTAATGGTTTATTGATGCCACATTTTGTCATACATTGTTCTACTCTATGTAACTAAAGTAATGGTTCATTGATGACAAATTTTATCATACATTCTTCTACTCTATGTAACTAAAGTAATGGTTCATTAATGACAAATTTTATCATACATTCTTCTACTCTATGTAACTAAAGTAATGGTTCATTGATGACAAATTTTATCATACATTGTTCTACTCTGATTCAAGTAATGATTCATTACTCTATGTGACTAAAGTAAGGGTACATTGATGACAAATTTTGTCATACTAAATTTTGTTCTACTAAAAATTACTGAAGTATTGGCTTAATTAATAACAAATTTTTCATACATTGTTCTACTCTAAAATATAGTATTGCTTTATTGATACATAAAGTAAATACATTTCTGATTTTTTTTTAAGTTAAATTCTGGATTTATTTCTGTTTTGTTTTGGCTAAGATTGTTAGTGGAAAAAATGCTACAGCTGAGTAGTAATGCTATAAACCAACCTTTTTTAAACACATTTAATTTTCATTTTATATATATATATATATATATATATATATATATATAGTTTAAAAATTTCTCTTAATATTTTAAATGTCATGTAACATAGTCACAATGGGCATCGCTAGCTCGGGTGTCACCCCCACCCCCCCCCCCAAACTTATATATATGTATATATATATATATATATATATATATATATATATATATATATATATATATATATATATATATATATATATATATATATATATATATATATATATATATATATATATATATATAAATATATAAACACACTTAGTATCACACCCCCCCCCCCCCCTTCCGTTTTGCCAAGCATGAATTTGTGAACACATTATTTTAATTCAAAAGGAACAAAGCAACATTTCATGGTTTTCTCTATAATTAGCATGGTGCGCCCCAACCCTCCCCCACCTCATGACGCCTCTGCATAGTTGTGTTACATTGATATAGCCATTAATATGAAAGTTGTTCTATATTTAGCTATGACGACTTGTTCTATATTTAGCTATGATGACATGCAGACAGCAGCAGCCCTGTACCTCCATCTGTCTCTGTTTCTAAATCAGCCACAAACTGATTGGGGGGCCTTGACCCAGGTTTGTTTTCAGCCTCTTTTTAAAAGTAGACAGGTCAATATTTTAGATCAGTATTTTTAGAAATAAATACACCACTAAAAAAAAAAAATGTTTTCATCTTTAGGACATCATCAGAAATTAATTTTTAAAATTTTAAAAGTACAGAACATTAAATATATATATTTTTTTAAATTTTATTTTTAATATATAAAATTTAAATTTGCATTGGAGAAAAACCTGGAACAAATTTTTTAGTAGAAAAAATTTACTTTAAAAAATATTTAAATATTCTACTGTTGTATATCACCAATGTCCTGTTAAATATTTGTCCTATAAGAGATTATGTGTGTGTCTGTCAGGCTCTCTTCATGAAGGACCAGACTCTGTCCATCCTACTCATCACCAGGACATGTATGCTGGACAGTTCTCAGTCATCCATACTGGCCAGCAATTTTAGGTGGGTATTTAGTTGTGTCATCCAGCACTTTTAGGTGGGTTTTTAGTTCATTCATCCAGAACTTTTAGGTGGGTTTTAGAATAATCATCTCATTACTAATAAGTTTTCAAAAAAATTAAATCATCTCTTTTTGCCTATTTAAAGGCCTATTTCATTCAGTTGAACCTGTTCTTTTAGGTTTTTTTTAAAAATTCAAACCTCTCAGCACTTTTAGGTGGGGATTTTAATTCAGTCATGTCAGCAATTTTAAATGGCTTTTTAATTGAGTAGTCTTACTACTTTTAGGTGGGGTTTTATTCAATTCTCTCAGTACTTTGAGGTGGGTTTTTTAAAGCGCTAAACAGGTAGCATTTAGGATTTCTTCTCAGAATATTTTCAAACATGCATCTGTTCAATTCAAAAAACTTGTACCATGAAGCTTCTATAAAACTCTTCACAACTACAAGTTGTCAAATCTTTAAAAAAATCAGGATTGAAGACAAAAGGTATAGAAAACATATTTTAAAATTTATTACAGCCTTTAGAAATTAAAACTTCAGTATAAAGGTCCTATATGTAATTTTTGAAAATCATTTATTCCCAAAAAAATTGTATGCTTTTTACCATGTCAATGTTATAATTAAATAGAATTTAGATGTGTTATGGTGGCATGAAATAAACAAAGACCAAATGTTTTATTTATTTATTTATTATATTGCTGCTCCACCAGAACAAAAGCGCCGCTCGCATCCAGCATCAGCACCGACATCTCCCCTCCCACTGCCATCCTCCTGGCCCAGCACTCAGCCCAGTCCTCCACAGAGTCCAACTCACCTGGGGACAACTATTCTCTCTCACCTGTCACGGACCTACCTGTCATGATGGAGATTGACACGTCCTCAGACATCCAGCAGGTTGTGGATGCTGTTGTCCACATAGCGGCTCAAGTCCGTTACTTCCCTCACGCTTTGGCTAAATGTATTGTACCCACTATAGAAAGGTGAGACAGTTGGCTAAATGTATTGTACCCACTATAGAAAGGTGAGACAGTTGGCTAAATGTATTGTAGAAAGGTGAGACAATTGGCTAAATGTATTGTACCCACTATAGAAAGGTGAGACCATTGGCAAAATGTATTGTACCCACTATAGAAAGGTGAGAATATTGGCTAAATGTATTGAACCCACTATAGAAAGGTGAGACAATTGGCTAAATGTATTGTACCCACTATAGAAAGGTGAGACAATTGGCTAAATGTATTGTACCCACTATAGAAAGGTGAGACCATTGGCTAAATGTATTGTACCCACTATAGAAAGGTGAGACAATTGGCTAAATGTATTGTACCCACTATAGAAAAGTGAGACAATTAGCTAAATGTATTGTACCCACTATAGAAAGGTGAGACAATTGGCTGAATGTATTGTAGAAAGGTTAGACCATAGGCTAAATGTATTGTACCCACTATAAAAAGCAGGAAAAAACTGATCTTTTAAAATACACTTTTGTGCTTAATAAATTGTGTTAGTTTCTTGTACATATCAGTTAGCTTTTAGACATTGTGCCTTGGCTGATTTTTTTAAAAAGTGTATTTATTTTTCCTCTGCCAGACTGGCTTGCTGGGAAATGTTTAACATCAGAAATCCTCTTGTCACTCCTAGAATGCTGGTAAATAAAAAACTGTTTTAATTTTAATAATTGATATCTAAATTTTTTTTTCAACAATACAGATGTTTTATGTTCAAAATAGGAAGTGTTCTTAATCTGATTTTTAATGTTATAATCAGTAAAAAAATAGAAAATATATTTTTTTGTATTTAATACTTATACAACTGTTATGGAAAAAAAAAGATTGGGCGAGGCAATTAAAAAAAATCAACTATTTTTGTTGTATTTAATACTTATACAACTGTTATGAAAAAATAAGGTCTGGCAAGGCAGGTAAAAAAAAAAAATCTATTTTGTTGTATCTAATACTTCTACAACTGTTATGAAATGCTTTTAATTTGCTGCTTTAGGTACCAGAGTGGCTGGTGGCTGTGTTCAAACTAATGGACCCCTTCATTGACAGGTAACCTTCACATCGTTTATCTATAAAATTTGAAAAGTTTATTGTTTCACCACTGTCTGTTGTACACCTAGATCAGTGGTTCTAAACCTGGGTTTCACTGAGTCAGTCTCAGGGGTTCAGCGGAGGCTAAGACACACACCCAACTCATATGATTCATGATCAGATGTTGTGGGTGAGTCAATCGAACCATTAAGTTAAAGGGTTCGGTGAATGCACATATGAAACTGATGGGTGTCAGTTCATTAAAAAGGGTTAAGAACCACTGACCTAGATGTCAGGTTTGAAAAAAATTCATTTAACCTTAAAGTAAACTATTTTTTAAATGTTTAGTCTTTAGTTCCATTGGGCGCTGAAAGTACGATGAGATAAACTTTAACCTTTACTTCCCCAGGACCCTGGAGCCTATGCTGTTATAAACTTTAACCTTTAACCTTTACTTTCCCAGGACCCTGGAGCCAACGTTGATATAAACTTTCACCTTTAACCTTTACTTCCCCAGGACCCTGGAGCCTATGCTGATATAACCTTTAACCTTTAACCTTTACTTCCCCAGGACCCTGGAGCCTATGATGATGTAACCTTTAACCTTTAACCTTTACTTCCCCAGGACCCTGGAGCCAACATTGATATTACCTTTAACCTTTACTTCCCTAGGACCCTGGAGCCTATGTTGATGCAACCTTTAACCTTTACTTCCCCAGGACCCTGGAGTCAACGTTGATATAACCTTTAACCTTTAACCTTTACTTCCCCAGGACCCTGGAGCCTATGCTGAGGTACATCAATCGCGTAAAGCCAGCAGACAAGTACATACGGCCGGTCATCTCATACGTGGCTGACCTGCCTTGTGGGTGTCCACCTAACTACTCACTCAAAGATCACCCAAATCCTCCAGGTTAGTCACACCTGATAGATCCAGGTAATTAGGACAGTCACAATTACACCTGATATATCCAGGTAATTAGGACAGTCACAAGTAGAGCTAATGTATTCAACCAATTAAGACAGTCACAATTACACCTGATATATCCAGGCAATTAGGACAGTCACAATTAGAGCTAATGTATTCAACCAATTAGGCCAGTCACAATTACACCTGATATATCCAGGTAATAAAGCCAGTCACAATTACACCTGATATATTCAGGTAATTAGGCCAGTCACAATTACACCTGATATATCCAACCAATTAGGACAGTCACAATTACACCTGATATATCCAGGTAATAAGGACAGTCACAACTATACCTGATATATCCAGGTAATAAGGACAGTCACAATTACACCTGATATATTCAGGTAATTAGGCCAGTCACAACTATACCTGATATATCCAACCAATTAGGACAGTCACAATTACACCTGATATATCCAGGTAATTAGGCCAGTCACAATTAGAGCTAATATATTAGCCTAGTCCTACTCAGGTTAATTACATCTAATATATCCAAAATTAGGTTAATCACATCACAGATGAAAAACCTGACCAATTAGCCTAGGCCAGGGGTCGGCAACCTGCGGCTCGCGAGCCGCATGCGGCTCTTTTGATGTCAAGATGCGGCTCTCCAGCTCCTTGCACAAATACTAATAATCATAATCAAAAAATAAAATACTTGAAATAAAAAAAATGTTAGTGGCTCTTTAAAACCAGGGAAATTTTGAAAATTGTAACTTTTGGCTCTTCCGCTTCAAAAGGTTGCCGACCCTTGGCCTAGGCCATATTTAAGTCAGTGTTTAAGCTTCTGTTCTAGCTAGCATGTGAGGGGGTTACTGATCTAGCCTAGTTTTTAACCAGGGATAACTATATCAATACTGACTATGGGACTTGTTACCCCAGTCACTAGTTATATCATTCAACATAATCCTTTCTTGTTGGTGCAATACTTTTCTTGGTTTGTTTGTTCATTTGGACACTGTTTGTTTGTGTGTTTGTTTGTTTAGATATGAAAATGGTGCTGACTAGATGGTGAGCAGGTCATTCCCCCCCCCCCCCCCCCCCCCCCCCCCCAAGGACATTTCCCTCCCTGGCATTACCCCTGGAGCAATGTATCCCCTGTCGATTACCTCCAGTTAGAGATAAGTTTGGGATAGTGTCAAGGTTAGGATTGATGTTTGTGTTAGGGTTAGCAGTGGTTTTTGTGGTTGGGATTTGGGTTCTTTAGCATGGGGGGGTGGGTGGGGGGTGGGGGAAAGGGTTGTAATTGACAAGGAGGTAATTTTTAGGTGGGAATGTCCGGTGTGGGGGGGGGGGGGGGGGTGATAGATGGGGTGTAATGTACTAGACCAGGTGGTGATACCTTGATACTGTATGTTTGTTTGTGTAGATAGATGTGTTAACCAAATATATTCTGCTGTTGATACCATAACACTGTTAGTTTGTTTATTTGTTTGTTTGTTTGTTTGTTTGTTCATTTGTTTGTTTGTTCATTTGTTTGTTTGAGTAGATATGAAAGAGGTCCTGATGTAGTGTATTTTTGTTTGTTTGTTTGTGTAGATATGAAAGAGGTCCTGACCAGATGTAATCAGCTGGTGATACCATAACCCTGTTTGTTTGTTTGTTCATTTGTTTGTTTGTTTGTGTAGATAGAGGTGTTAACCAAATATATTCCGCTGTTGATACCATAACACTGTTAGTTTGTTTGTTTGTTTGTTCATTTGTTTGTTTGTTCATTTGTTTGTTTGAGTAGATATGAAAGAGATCCTGATGTAGTGTATTTTTGTTTGTTTGTTTGTGTAGATATGAAAGAGGTCCTGACCAGATGTATTCAGCTGGTGATCCTAGAGATAGAGAAGTGTATTGTGGTACTGCCCTCCAGCCTGTGCTGTCTCTTCAATGCTATAGACAGCAACTGTAGGGACCAAGGGATCAAGACTAGCCACAGTTGTGTGGCTTTTCAGGTACATGGCTTTTTGTGTGGGGGGGGGGGGGGTGTAGGTGTGTGGGGGAGGTAGATGTGTTATTGTGTGGGACTGTAGGTTTGGTGTGTGTGGTTACCTGGTGCTTTTGTGGGGGTTTGTAGGTTTGGTGTGTGTGTGTGGGTACCCGGTGCTTTTGTGGGGGTTTGTAGGTTTGGTGTGTGTGTGTGGGTACCCGGTGCTTTTGTGGGGGTTTGTAGGTTTGGTGTGTGTGTGTGGGTACCCGGTGCTTTTGTGGGGGTTTGTAGGTTTGGTGTGTGTGTGTGGGTACCCGGTGCTTTTGTGGGGGTTTGTAGGTTTGGTGTGTGTGTGTGGGTACCCGGTGCTTTTGTGGGGGGGGGGGGGGGTTTGTAGGTTTGATGTGTGTGATGGCCAGGTGTTTTTGTTGGGGCTGTAGGTTAAGTGGGGCTTAAGACAAAAGAGGTTTGTTTAATTAGGAGTTTGGGCATGAGGTGTGGGGTTTTTGAATGAGTTGTTGCTGTGTATTTGTGTAAAGTGTCACTGAGTGATGTTGATAATTTATTAGTGATACTAGATTTATGGGTACATTGAAATTAAAAGCTAACTTATTGTATCTCATGTAGATTGTTATTTTGATTTGTACTCACATTTCCTAATAAGAAGAATAAAAAAATTTTTAAAAGCTAACTAATTGTATCTCATGTAGATTGTTATTTTGATTTGTACTCACATTTCCTAATAAGAAGAATGAAAAAATTTTATTCCTCCCAACCTCAGATCATTACCTGGGCCATGTGGCTCCGCTTGAGCCAGTTTGCTGCTGGCACGGATAAACTTGGCTCCATCATCAGCTCTGATGTTAGAGGTTACATGATGACCTTGGCCGACAGTCTGTTTCACGTCCTGGTCTATGGTAAAGGTCAGTTCGTGTTTTTAAGTTTTGGTGCATTATAGTCAATGTTTTGTGTTTCACGTCCTGGTCTATGGTAAAGGTCAGTTCATGTATTTAAATTTTGGTGCATTATAGTCAATGCTTTGTGTTTTCAAAGAACTTTTAGTTTATTGAGGTTTCGAAACAATTGTTGTTTATTCATGTTGTAAGTGTTCTGTAACAAACGTTGCATGTTAAGCGTAAAAGCCTCTTGTAAGAAATGTTGTTTGCTTAGGCTTATATTATTTTGTTGTCAGTGTTCTGTAACAGTTGTTGCATATTCAAGTTGTACATGTTCTGTAACATTTGTTGTGTGATCAAGTTTATATTGTTCTGTAACTAATTCTTAAGTATCCCATACTTTCAGGACTCTCTACACCCCAGTTCCCTGCCAAGTTTATGAAAAGCAACAAAGAATGGCTGCAGCTGAGGATTCAAAGTATCAGATCCTACATCATTGATGAGTGAGTTGGTCTCAATTGTTTGTTTTGTTTTGTGTTTACTTTCAGGATTTTCACATAGTAGATCTACAGTTTTATTCTTTCTTTATTGTTGCAGTTTAGTTTAATATAATTTGCAACACATTGCTGAAAATGATTATAGTCTACTGGTTTGGGTTAGATATTGGATATGACAGCCTGAAATACACTTGCTATAAGATACAATTAGATAAATATGATTAGATAAAGATACAATATTATGCAAAAGTTTTTTTTTTTTCAAAGTAATATTTTTGTGTTTCCACAATTAGCCATAAGCGCAAATGTATAAGAGCCAACCTCAGACATTTTTTGCAATCATAAGATAGTAGACTCTTCTGCTGTGACATAATGGTGTGGTCGGGTCATAGAGTAATCGACTGCCAACCTGAAAGTTTTGGGTTCAGATCTCAGTCCACACTTGAGTCTACAGATTGGCCCAGCTCTGATGGGTACTTTACTCTTATTAGGAAGAAAAAAGGCAGCTGGGCATAGGGCTGACCACACCATCCCTTTATATATCAAAGTCAAGAAAAGTATTAACTCTACTTCGTATACCTTATGGATTATTCAGTCCAAAAGGCAAAGTTAATTTTTCTGTTACATTTTGTATAGGCAGCCACACTAGCCCATCTGAAGACATGACCTAAAAGCTCAGAAAAAAATCTTAGTTGTTCTTTTCCAATCACTGACTGACTTCATGGTCAGTTCTGCTCTCCTCTCTTCCTGATCAGACATTCCTTCTTATTATGTTCCCTTTTTAATTAAGATGTATTAATTAAATTTATGAGACTTTTTTTCTTCATAGGTTTCATGGCCATTCTAGTACTGATATCACTGAGGCCACAACCATCACTTTCACAGATCACATCTTTAGTATGATAGCCTCTAGTATTATGGACACACCCAATGGTAGGTATATGTTATAACAACAACAATCACTTTCACAGATCACATCTTTAGTATGATAGCCTCTAGTATCATGGACACACCCAATGGTAGGTATATGTTATAACAACAACAATCACTTTCACAGATCACATCTTTAGTATGATAGCTTCTAGTACAAGGACACACCCAATGGTAGGTATATGTTTTAACAATCACTTTCACAGATCACATCTTTAGTATGATAGCTTCTAGTACAAGGACACACCCAATGGTAGGTATATGTTTTAACAACACTTTCACAGATCACATCTTTAGTATGATAGCCTCTAGTATCATGGACACACCCAATGGTAGGAACATGCTCTTAGTGCTTTTTAAATGCTTTATTACTGGTAATAGAGCATTGTGCTGTCCATATGATTCTCCATTGTGATGATTACATAGTTTTCTTTATTAAGCTTTGACCACACAAAGCTCCAAAAAGCTGACCACACAATCCTTCAATAAACTGAACTCAAAATCCTTCAATAAGCTGACAACAAGATCATTCCATAAGCTGTACAACCAATCCTTCAATAAACTGAATACAAAGTCAAAGTCCCCTACAAAATTACCACACAATCCCCTTAAAAGCTGACCACACAATCCTTATTACAATCCTCCACTGTGTTTCTGTAACCTACCACTAAATTTTCCCCCACCATTTTCCCCCTACCCCACCAGGCTACCAGGAGTTGAGCACATTATGTAACCTGGTGCGCAACAACGGACCCTGGCTACTGGAGCAGATGGACATCCAAAGTCCACTGACCAGCAGCACTGACAGCAGACAGAAGAAGCTCAGCTTTAAGCTCGAGGTCTCTGCCCCACCCAGGCCGGCGGAGTTTAACCCCATAAAAGAGATGAACAGCATTGGGGCATGTTCTTTCAACCAGGTAAAACATCAGCAGTTTGTTTGGTTGGTTAGACTTAATTCCAGGTAAAAATAACGTACTCTACCCTGCTCGGGTTTGATCCAGGGGTTGTATGTAAAGAAAACAGTGCTCGATTTGATAAATTATTGTTAAATCTTCTATTATAAATTTACATTTTTGATACATTCAGCCAGTGAAATGTGCAAAATCTTGTGCTATTTCACAGGCTTAATAGCACAGTGTATCTATTTTGGTATATTTTATAAAGTTATTTTAAATTATTATAAAATTTATAGAATTATAAAATTTTAATAAATATGTATCAAATATGCAACAGAGAGCTAAAATATAAAGTAAAGATACCCTCTCAGGATTTATGGTCTATAGTGTGTATAATGTCATGTTTTTGTTCTCTACAGAAAGCTATCATTGAGTTCCCGTTTGATTGGCTGGCCTTGTTAACCAGCGACCTGGGGCTGAGCCAGGCAGCATTCCGCACACTGCTGATGAACAGGCATGAGATGCAGGATGGCGCCACGCTGGAGGAGAATGAGAAGAAGCCAGTGGATGTTCTCAAAGCAGTTTATGAACGTTGATGGGTTGTTTCAGGACGAACTGTGCCAAAATGTTTTTTTTCTTGTTTTATGGGGGTTGTTTTTTTTTGGCATTTGATAGTGTATAAATTAGAGTAAAATAGATAACTAGAATAAATAATAAATTGCATATGCATATATATATATATATATATATATATATATATATGTATATATATATATATATATATATATATAAATTAAAACGGGTCAATTATTTAAACTGCAATATATTTATAAGAACACATTTTTAAGAGATTATTGATCTTTCAAGTCCTTATTTAATATTTAAGATCTAAAATGTAATACAAATATACTGTAATTGTGATAATTTTAGTCCTCAGCTCTTATTCCCTCACATTAAACCGCATTTACTAGTGTAATTGATTTGTTTTATATTACATAAATGTTTTAGAAAATGTCACTTTACTGACTTAATTCAAGTTTATTTTATTTGTTTTATTTTAGGATTTTAATATAATCATAACACTATGATCAGAGATGCTCTTTATTTTTTAAATTTGATAGTTTTTAAAAACATTTTTTAATAGTAATTCATTAGTATGTGAAACTTACATAATGAACATTACAGTAATGAGTCATTATGTAAAACATACACAATGATGTTGATGTATAAGTGTGATAAAAGAATGTGAAATTGAGCTGAGTTGACCAGATTTTTCTGAAATCTCAAGCTGTATATTGGCATGCAGCTATTTAATCCAAATTGTTTGCGTATACATATTAGTATACTAATGTAACGCAAATTGTTTATGTATACATATTAGTATACCATTATTATGGTTGTTGTGTATGTTGCCCTATAATTTATATCTACATTAACTACACTAAAAATTGTTTGAGCTTTTTTATTACAATGTTGTGAATGCACGTATTATTGTACACATTTTTTGTATGGTAACTGCTAAACAAGATCACTTCTTCTACAATCTAAATATTTGTAAACTATTATAAAATGAAAATAAATCAAGTCCAGAAGCTTAAAATTTAAATTTTCAAACTGCATGAAGAGCTTTGTAAATCTACTACTTAACTAGGTTACTCTGAGAGTATCTAAAACTATTCTTGTGTATTCGTTTGTGGTTTTTTTTCCACAGTACTTTTGTTAAAAAGATGATAGGGGCTGTAATCTCAACACTTTTTTGTATAATTAATACAATTGTTTGCTTTTTTTATCTGATCTATGAAAAGAGGATTTAAATTAACTTTCAAAATTCTTAAACTGAAAGTTAATCATTCAATCTGAAGTGAGCAAAATACATTTTAAAGAATTTTGTGTAGATGATAGTTGAGCAAAAGTTGAAACCATTTTTTTTTTTCGTAAGACATGTGAGTTTTTTCCCTTGTTTTACTGTGATATTTATTTTTATTTCAACTGGACAAGTTTTGATGTGAGGAGCTGTTTGACCATCCCTTTAACTCACATTTGTGATAAAATATAACTCAGTATTTGCACTGGACAGAGATCTCTATTTTAATTTTACTGTTTAAGAAATCAATTTGCTGGACAGAAATCTCTAATGTTTTTTTTTTATTTTTACCAATTTAAGAAATCAATTGTTGCATAATATTTTTGTAATCTATTTCATTAGTCCACTTACAAATGTTCAAATTTCAGTGATTTTTTAAAAAATTTGAATTAATTAATCATGTTATTAAACTGGCTTTTAAAAAAATCAAAATGCCTAATTTTTTCTCCAAAGAAGCACATGACAATCTTCAGTTATTCAAAATTGAAAAACCAACCACATTTTAAATATTGAATTGTAAAACTTAAGCAGTCTTTTTAAAATGATGCATTTGTTGTTGAATCTAATAGCCAAATGGTAAACCACATTTTTATGGGAGCACATGACAGTAAATCAAATTTTAAAGACACTTTTTTTCTTTAAAAAAAAACCTTTTTTGTACTCCATTTTGCCAAAAGTTTTAATCATCATAAGATTGTTGTTAATTAATTACCTGTGCATTTATTTATATTTTCACTTTAAAAAAGTGTATTATTATATTTTACATTGTTGTGTGCAGATAGTTACGTTATGTTTAAAGTTAACATTTAAAGTTGTGTGTGGTTAGACACCTTTTGGTGAATAAATATTGCTGCTGTACGTAATGTTTGGTGTATGTGAAGAGGCAGGCACAGTGTGAAAGTTTTCACATCTCACATTTAAAGTTGTGTGTGGTTAGACACCTTTTGGTGAATAAATATTGCTGCTGTGTGAAAGTTTTCACATCTCACATTTAAAGTTGTGTGTGGTTAGACACCTTCTGGTGAATAAATATTGCTGCTGTACACAGTGTTTGGTGTATGTGTTAAGGGAGGGGAGAGAACAAAAGGTTTTTGTATTCTATTGTTAGGTATGTCAGAGTGGATTAAACAGATTTGTAACAGGCTCTGAGACATTTAATGATCCATGAGGATGACTTAAGCAGGCAGGGGTTGAACTATCAAACTATTGCACTCCCCCCTCCCCCCATTTATATACATTGTTAGCAAAAAGTGCCTCCGCTCCTCCCATTTTTGATGGTCGGTGGCATTTTTACCAGTCACTGTCCCTGAACAGTTATTTTGGGTGTCATACAACAGATTGAGAGAACAGTTAAATATGTCAGTTAAGTCAAGTAGCAGTCTATTCTAAACCTCCACTGCACAATGCAGTAATGAAGCTCAACTGAACTTTATATATTGTTTTTTTTCTACCCTGTTTGGTGCCCAGCCCTCCAATTGTTGGTGCCTGGGGTGGCCACCCCACCTGCTCACCCTAGCTAGGCCACTGAGGTCAATATGAGGCAGACACTTCCAAATAATGATTTCTGTTCTTTGTTTCGATATTGTTACAAATAAGATGAATTTAAGAGTAAAATCTCCCTTATCTAGTTGAAGTAGAGCTCAGCTGTTTATGTAACTGTTACATGAGTTTTACAATAACCTGTCAGTATCACTTCCCCCAACATAATGCCATATACTCATTAAAGCTGGGTTAGCCTCGGGGATGTCATGTAGTCATCATACATAGGATTTGAACTCATAGATCATCTGACTGATACAGGAATGATATTGTAAGTATGCTTTTAATAATCACACATTTATGGATCATGTACATTATTATCTGAAACTGATTGCCGTAGTGATAGGTTTCTTATTAAGGTAGATGCGTTAGAGTTCACCTGTTTCAATTATCTCCCCTGCAATACTTAATACTTGCAAAAATTTCTTAATCCACCATTGTAGCTAATGAATACTTTGCTTTAATCTTCATCTTGACCAATCTAACTCACTTGTTCATTGTTTAGGCGCTAGAGTAACAAATACAAACAAGATGGTTTCATCCATTTTATTTTATTTTTGTCACCCCCAGCGTTGATCTCCAAAACTAATAACAGTGGCACAGTTTTTTATGTACAAAACAATTTGATAAAATAGCAATAGTTTTATTTACAAGGATAATATAGGCATACATACCAAAGACATGCCCACGTATTTAAACAGAATCATGTAATACCATCACATATAACACTGCCCTCAAAAATAGACGTTGGCAAAACTAGGGAACAAATAATTCTAATGAATTCACTGTTATTTACATGGACAGTGTGGAACATCCTGATGAATTCACCATCTGAATTACATGGACTGCCCTCAAATACCAGACTCAACAATCCAATTGACATGTTGTCTGACAGACTGGATAAACAACAAAACAATTTCACAACAAGGCAACTTTTGAATATAGGTAACATTTTATTTACAGGAAACTTTTTCAAAATTTTAGCAAGCCAGTGATGATTTTCAGCAGAATTCTACCCTGCAGACAAGTTTTAACTAGCAGTAGTGTTGTTCAGGGTGGGAGGGGGGTGTGAAGGTAGGTGAGGATGTTTAGGGTGGGGGGAGGTGGTGGTGTGTAGGGAGGGGAGAATGTTCAGGGTGGGTAGGGAGGGGAGAATGTTCAGGGTGGGGAGAGGTGGTGGTGTGTAGGGAGGGGAGAATGTTCAGGGTGGGGAGAGGTGGTGGTGTGTAGGGAGGGGAGAATGTTTAGGGTGGGGAGAGGTGGTGGTGTGTAGGGAGGGGAGAATGTTTAGGGTGGGGAGAGGTGGTGGTGTGTAGGGAGAGGAGAATGTTCAGGGTGGGTAGGGAGGGGAGAATGTTCAGGGTGGGGAGAGGTGGTGGTGTGTAGGGAGGGGAGAATGTTCAGGGTGGGTAGGGAGGGGAGAATGTTCAGGGTGGGGAGAGGTGGTGGTGTGTAGGGAGGGGAGAATGTTCAGGGTGGGTAGGGATGTGAGGATGTTTTGGGTGGGGGGAGGAGCCAGGAGGTGATGTGTACAGGGATTGGAGATAGGGTTGGGTAGGGATGTGTCTGAGGAGGGGTGTCTGTGGTGGGGTGTGGGGTTCAGTACTATCGTGAAGAAAAATTGAGTAACATGTAAATAACACACAGTATATAACACGTGACCCTATAACCGCCGACATGTGCAGAGACGCACCTGGCTATATCACTGCACATCGCCACACACATTCACACATACACAACAAGGCTGAGATTAAAATTGGGCACCCCCCTTTACCCTCCCCCACAACGAAACCTAACCACAAAGTCGGTGTGTGTCCGTATACCCTGCTTAAATCTTACCAATCGGATTAGGCTGGAAAATACCACATTTTAAATTGCAAACAACACTACTGAACAACTGTTGACGGGGGTGGGAGGGGGGAGGTGGACTAGATTTCTGCATGGACGGATTACATTTACAGGTGGTGTGGGGTTGAAATGGTGGGGGGTGGGGAGTAGAGTATAGTACCGACTTAAAATAGTGTTGGCAGTTTTACAGTAAAACTACATGCTTTAAATCTGACACCTGACGGATTAACAGGCTAATCTGAGCCTAATCTACTTTATATTTTACAAGCTCACAACATGGTAAATGGGGAAAACGATTTCAACTTAAAATAGACGAACACCTTGTCAACTATACAGAGAAAAGTACAGGTTATGAAAGAAATGTACCCTACACGCCACCCCCCCCCCCCCTCCCCATTCTGGTAGTTGACTGCAACTTCTGTCTAGTAACTGGAGTGGTCTCGGTACATGTAACACGAGGCTGTTTTAACACAAGTATAGCTGTTTCCTGTGCTCTATACATGTAATACGAGGCTGTTTTAACTCAAGTATAGCTGTTTCCTGTACGCTATACATGTAACATGAGCTTGATTTAACTCAAGTATAGCTGTTTCCTGTACGCTATGCATGTAATTGTAACGTGAGCTTGATTTAACTCAAGTATAGCTGTTTCCTGTGCTCTATACGTGTAACATAAAGCTGTTTTAACTCAAGTACAGCTGTTTCCTGTGCTCTATACGTGTAACATAAAGCTGTTTTAACTCAAGTATAGCTGTTTCCTGTACGCTATACATGTAACACAAGGCTGTTTTAAAGCAGGTTTATCTGTACCCGGATATACGCGGGCAGGTAAAAAAATCTAAGTCCGATGACCTATTACAATTAATTATTTTAATTAAGGTTGAGCACACTATTTTTATGCGACGTGGGTTAAGGATAGAGAATGTGTACAGAGGTTAGTTTACACAGAATCGGGAATGGGGCTTAGAGAGTATAGGGAGTGGGGTTTAGAGAGAATAGAGAGTGAGATTTAGAGAGTTTAGGGAGTGGGGTTTAGAGAGAATAGGGAGTGGGGTTTAGGGAGTGGGGTTTAGGGAGTAAAGGGAGTGGGGTATAGAGAGTTTAGAGAGGGGTTTAGAGAGTCTACAGAGTGGGATTCAAATAGTGTGGGGCGTGGGGTTTAGAGAGTACACAGATGTTTAGAGGGTGTACGATCTTGTGAGTATGGTAGCGTGGCTTAGAGAGTGAAGAGGTAGGTTTAGAGAGTGTGAACAGGTAGGTTTAGACGGTATAGAGGGTGAAGATTAGAGAATATGGGGGTGTGGTTTAGAGAGTGTGAGACGCGAGGTTTTAAAGAGTATAGGGGTAGCGGCTTTAAAGTGTGCGGACAGTCCGGGATGGTTGTTTAGAGAGTTCAGTAAAGACAGAGTAGATCCTATCCAAACTGAAATAATGTCAACTTTAGTTATTAAGCAAACAACTTTCCAAAGTGGTCCCAAGTGTACCTAGATATTATTTTGCATATTTCAACGGTTTATCTTGACAAACGCTTTAAAAAATTGTTAATGCAGTACACTATTTTCAGACCGGATTTGAGACCAAAATTATGTTATAGATTGTTCGTTGCCCGGAAGTTAAACTAGACAAGTTATCTTTTTTTGGCTAGCTCATGCCTACTCTGTGAAAAAACCACATACCAAGCTAGAGCTAGATGCACGTGGATCTAAATATATCACGGTGAGAAAGGGAAAGGTGTGTGGGGGAGGGGCCACTCAAGAAATCAAATATGACATGAATTAAGGTGGGGGTTTATTTAATAAAATGGACATTTATAGAAATTTACTAATTGCAAGAAAGAGGACACTAATTATGACGTCACTACTCACATCAAATCAGCCTAAACCCACGCATATTTTAACGTAGAAATACAATATGTATGTTGTTCATGTTATAAAATAAACCAAAGATATGACTACGGTTGCGATCACTATAAACTTTACACCTTATAGTATACTACAATATGGCAGTCAGCTATTTTAAACTATCCAGCACTACTATCGAATGTTACAACTGGGCATACATAAGCATATAACTGACAATATGTTAAGCAATGTAGAGTTGCCTAAAACTTAATATAAAGATATGATTATTTTGAATATAAAAAGAAATATATTTGATTATATTTGATTATAATTACAGTAAAGTTAATGAATAAATATAAATAGATACATAAAAGGCGGTTTCAGCATAGAAAGGGTAGGTGGAGGGCCGAGGGCAACATGCATAAAAAATATGAGCTTCTTTGGAACCGATTGTCTACCCTTGTTGATATGTAGCGTATATAAGGGAAATAACATGTGTTGATATGCCGCTGGGAACTTTAGGATAAAATGTTGGACATAAATACTACCAGCGTTGAATACACTGTAAGTCGTTTTATCGAAACAAAAACAGAAACAGTAATAGTAATATTATTGGCATTAGGCACTTACAAATGATCACGCTCATTAAGTACAAGGAATGTTTCTTTGTTCCTAAGATGTAATATCACCAATGGCCTACTCTCCAAGAGGGAACATGGCCTTAGTCCAACTCGCTTAGAAGGAACATGTCCCAAGTTCGACTCTGCAAGAAGGAACACCGCCCAGGTCGTACTCTCCAAGAAGGAACACAGCACAGGCCATACTCTCCAAGATGGAACATGTCCCAAGTTCTACTCTCCAAGAGGGAACATGGCCTTAGTCCAACTCGCATAGAAGGAACATGTCACAAGTTCTACTCTCCAAGAAGGAACACAGCACAGGCCATACTCTCCAAGATGGAACATGTCCCAAGTTCGACTCTGCAAGAAGGAACATGTTCCATGTCCTACTCTCCAAGAAGGAACATGTTCCCTGCCCTACTCCCCAAGAAGGAACATGTTCCATGTCCTACTCTCCAAGAAGGAACATGTTCCATGTCCTACTCTCCAAGAAGGAACATGTTCCATGTCCTACTCTCAAAGAAGGAACATGTTCCATGTCGTACTCTCCAAGAAGGAACATGTTCCATGTCCTACTCTCCAAGAAGGAAATGTTCCATGTCCTACTCTCAAAGAAGGAACATAACCCTGGTCCTACTCTCCAAGAAGGAACATGTTCCATGTCCTACTCTCCAAGAAGGAACATGTCCCAAGTCCTACTCCCCAAGAAGGAACATGTTCCATGTCCTACTCTCCAAGAAGGAACATGTTCCATGCCCTACTCTCCAAAAAGGAACATGTTTAATGTCCTACTCTCCAAGAAGGAACATGCCCCATTCTTACTCTCCAAGAAGGAACATGTTCCATGTACTACTCTCCAAGAAGGAACATGTTCCATGTCCTACTCTCCAAGAAGGAACATGGTCCATGTCCTACTATCCAAAAAGGAACATGTTCCATGCCCTACTCCCCAAGAAGGAACATGTTCCATGTCCTACTCCCCAAGAAGGAACATGTTCCATGTCCTACTCCCCAAGAAGGAACATGTTCCATGTCCTACTCCCCAAGAAGGAACATGTTCCATGTCCTACTCCCCAAGAAGGAACATGTTCCATGTCCTACTCTCCAAGAAGGAACATGTTCCATGTCCTACTCCCCAAGAAGGAACATGTTCCATGTCCTACTCCCCAAGAAGGAACATGTTCCATGTCCTACTCTCCAAGATGGAACATGTTCCATGTCCTACTCCCCAAGAAGGAACATGTTCCATGCCCTACTCTGCACCAAGAAACCCTCTCAGTCCCGCCATCGAAGCGAAGCCTACCAACAGCACCACGTGGTTGCAGATCTCGGCCTGGGCCGTTTTCTTCGAATGTCGCTCCGTGGTCTCGGTGAAGGCCACGTACATGAACGTCCCGACGGCGAAGGCTTGAAGGCACCCAGGGATCATACTGGCCTGACCCGTCCGCTCCGAAAGGTCAAAGGCCGTGTGGACGAAAGCCGCGCTCATGGCCAATCCGGCAGGGGCCACGACAGCGAACAGGAAGACGTAGAGGAGAATCCGCGAGAGCTTCGTCTGCTTGTCGTAGTTGCTGAGCAGTGTCAAGGACAAACTGATGGACACGAAGGTCTTGTGGAGGGAGAGGGCGAAGATCAGGGACATGATGACCTTCTCGGAAGTCTGCAGACCCAGCATGACCCCGTCGAAAAACCCGTGAATGCACAAAGCGGCAACCAACGCCATGGACCTCAACTGCCCGGAGCTGGTCAAAGGGGATTTTTTTTCAGACAGGTCATGAACTTCTTTAGAAATGAAAGCTTCCGTATCACTCGATCTTTCTGTCGACCCCCCTGCGGTGTTTTCATCAAAATTTGTAGTTTCTGATCGTTGTATTGACGTGGTTGCAGTAGCTCCAGGCGCGTTAGGAAACGCCGTAAATTTCGGCTTCATCCATCTGGGTGATCTGTTGCCCTCGTCGTACTTGTCCGCATCGCGCTGTTGAAACACAACCTCGTCGTCGTTCGGTTCCTCTTCTATAGCAACCTGAACCGTCCTCCTCCGCGTTCTTTTCCAGGATTTAATGACGGTGTCGGTCATGTAGATGAATAAAAACCCAAACACGACTAACAGTTCTGCTAGTGGGTATGCGTCTTTAACCTCTTCAACACCTTCCGTTGGCAGCCTGGTCGAGTTCAGGCCTTCGTTGTGTTTGCAGGATTTGGAAACCAGTGTGTCTCGGACTGTCGCTAGACTCTCTGGGAGAAGGTTCAAGAAACAGGTGGCGATGAAGACCCCAGACGCCAGAGAGTGGAGATAATCCAGCACGGGAACTCTTCTTTGGTGTGAACCTTTGATGCGCGCGCATCGCTTGAAGCACCAAAATGGCGTCCAGCCGAAAAACAAGGTCAGAATAAAAAATAAGAATCCCGCAAACACTTTAGCACCGATGATATTCATTGCATCTGAGCTACTGTGTAAAATTTATAGTTTAAGTAGTTTAAATATAACGTTAATCCAAAGCCATACAACGAGACACCACCATAAAAATCGTCCTTGTACTTCTAAATCCTCACACTTACAGCTTTAAAGTCACCATTTTCTTCACAAAACGAAACTACCCACAATTCCAAGAAAATTTTCTTATCTCCGAATCACAAACACAAATTCCTTCCCGTCTTCTAAGTGTCACAAACTCTCAAGTCACTGGGGACAAAATACTCCGGGTAACAAATGTTCCTAATCACCGCCTGTGAATCGTACTTGAATAGGTAGACAGCTGGTCGTCCGTTTGTCAGCTGATCGATTTTACTGTAGATTTAAAAAGTTGAAACGTCAGATTGTAATGCAGGAAACAAAATATAAAAAAAAAATGGTAGGAAAATGCGAAAGATAAAGAATGCACATATTGTTTAGACGTTTAGACCGTCAACACTGAGAATTATAAATTAAAGACTGGGCTTTTAAAAACATGTTGATTCATCTTCCCTTTCTGTCGTGTAAATGCGTAGATAATTTTTCCCCCCCAAGCAAATATCACGCAGACGCTATCTGGTTTAAAGATCGCACAGTGTCGGCTTACAACTGGGGGTAAACACACCAGATGCACTCGCGTCTATATATATGTCCAACTGTTTATTTCATGCATCTCCCAGAAAGGGGTGGGGGTCTATTGCCCCATCTGACACGTCCACCGCCACCTGGATAAAAAATGTCAAACAATTAATTATTTAGAAATAGTGTTTAAACTCCCTCCTGTAAGTTTCAAGACCACCCCTCTCCTTCTAAACACCCGGGAAATTTCAAGCCCCCCCCCTCCCAATCCCCCTCTCTTTACACCCGGGGGAAGTTTCAAGATCACCCCCCTCCCTGTGATAAATATATAAAAGAAACCCCGTCCGTCATTTGTTTTCGTTAGCCCTACCTGCACCGACGAATATTTCCGCTCGATAACACAACCCCAAATATGGGTGCCAGAACTCGTTCATGGGAGGTCACTCCCATTTGTCGATAAGAACATGTGATTGGAGAATTGACTATTCAAAGAAAATCTAAATTGGTTGACACCGGTGGTGTATGCAGGGTGTTGGTAGAGGTGTCAAGTCAAACACCGTTGGCGCCATAGCGCATGCGCCCAAAATATTTAACTACCTTTGTAAGGAAAAAGCCAATATATAAATTTGAACGCTGCAAGTATTTTATTTTATTACTGGCAATTGATTTGTAAATTAAAGAATCCAATTCAGACCTATCGATCCTTTGGGTAGATGAAGTAGAGTTCATATGTTTCTTGACCTCGGCATACGAAGGAATGGCGTGGTCAGAACGATGCACAGTCGCCTCATCTATCCAACGTGAGTCAGGACTACATTAGATATGGATGGATTCAGAAACGTCACGAGATCCGAACTCAAGATCGGCGCTTTACTACTCGACCACACCGTCCCTTTTAACACACACACACAAACAAACACATAAAAAACGTAGTGCTCAACATACTACGCTGCAGCATAGATGAGACAAGATGTACGAGTATGTACGTCGGCTACATATAATCGATAAAAGCTGTCTGAATTTTAACCTAATGGTATAGATCAGAGAATTAAGCAATCACCGTTGTTATACGCTCAATGGATTCCTTCCAAACTAATAGTCTGCGTAGGATGAAAGGTTAACCACAGACCATACATGGGACGGAGTGGCCTAGCGGTAGAAAGCCTCAAGTTCAAATCCGGGTTTAACTTAAACTTTAATGGGTATCTAACTCACGTTACAGAAAATAAAATACACCTTAATATGCCGAGGTCATAGAAACAGGTGAACTCTATTTCACTTGCCCCATGGACCGTCAGGTTCGAAAGTGAAGTAGAGTTCACCCGATTCTGCAACCTCGGCATATGACGGGATAGTTTGGTCAGCACTTTGCCGCATTTCCTTAACGTTTGTTAGGTATGCATCAAAGTTGGGTAGACTCAAACCCGAATTCAAACTCGAGATTTTCGAGTTGGCAGTCTAGCGCTCTAGCGCTAGGCCGAATCACATACTAGGATGCAAGTTAGAAATTACTACCCTAAACTAAAAATGTTTATTGAAATAAAAAACCAATCACTGTATAATATAGTAGCTCATTTAGTAAATTTGATGTAAACAAAACATGGTTGTATTTAGACTATCGTTGAGTAGTTTAAAATAGTAAATGTTAAAACGTGAGCGAATTGTGTTATGGAAGCTGAGTACTCACACTTGGTTTTTGAAGAGATGAGTTAACGTATGCTGGATCTTGTATCACGAATATGTAAGGCAATCTCAGTTCCAACAGTATTATGACATCGTTAGAACTATGACCAGTATAGCAGAGTTCATGGAATAGGACCAGTACAGTAGCACTACTAGACTTTACCAGGACCACTACAGTAGGACATCTAAAGCACAACCAGTACAGTAGCACTACGCGGACCACTACAACAGGACCACTACAACAAGCAGGCCATCAAGCGAGATACAATCACAATCTCGCTACAAACAAGCATAATCTCGCGCTACCTTGGCCAAATGCCGACCAACAACAAAAGAAACCCACACATAAAAAAAATGTATTTCTGTCATGGTTCATCGATGAAGTAAAGACGGGGTTTACATTGGGCCGGGGGAGGTGATGTGTGACAGAAATAAAGTAACCCCGAGGGGGTGGGAGAAGGGGGGATAAGCGTGTGTCGTGGATTCGGTTATATCTCAGTGCTTAAAATGTGTTTTTATTAGAAAGGAAACAACTGGTTTAGATAGGGGTTGAGTGCTTTATTTAGTGCTGATAAAAATTTTAGAGCTGCAGTAGCTTTAAGCTAAGGGTAGACAAAGGTACAGAAGTGTTTACACGCCTGACTTGATGCATGGAAGGCGAGGCGATTTGGTGCCGCGTGGAATTGTAGGTTCGGATCCCGTTTTAGTGCTAACTGCTCTGTCTTTACTTGGACTATTTTCTGTACCTTTGTCTACCCTTGTCGTTGAAATATCACTTTCTTTTCATATTGCTATTTCAGTTCTACCCCCCTCTACATAGCTTTTAGCTAGGGCCTTTTGTTACTGTCAAATATATTGTTGAAGCGAAGGCTCCGTGCTATGTGTACATTATTACCGGGAATACAGTTGCAGCCGGTGTTTAATGGCAGTCTGTTTAAATAAACAAATGAATAGGTTTTATTTTTGTTAGTGAGTTTTAAGAACCATGCATGTATCGTAAAGCTAAGACACGCAGTTGGTATGGGCATGTGGCACCAGCCATCTGGCTTAACAAAGGCATTCATGGTTGGCACGGAGCCAGGGGGAAGAAAACTAGGAAGGACAAGACGAGATTTAATGGAGGACAGGGGTCGGCGTGGTCGAGTCGGTAAAGCTCATGGTTGCTAAACCGAAAAGTCTCGAGTTCCGCGGGCAGATGAGGCTCGTTAGCTGGAACAGCCACTCTTCTAGGAGAGACAACTCCAAAATCAAACAACTGCGGCCTTGTAGTATGTTCTTGGTTGGACAAAGGCTATGGAAGCAAATCCAAAAAGAAAAGCAGGCTGAAATCGGAGTCAATGGCCTCAATGGCGCATAACCAGTTGACACGTAACGCTTAATTGTGTTGGAGGCGTGGTCGAGTCGGCAAAAAGCTCATGGTTGATAAATTCGATTAAAGTCTCGATTTCAAACCCACTGGCAGATAAATCTCGATCTCCTTCAACACTAATAATTAAGAACGAAGAAGAAGAAGAAGAATGGAGGACATCAAGGAATGGACTGGGCTGCCCGTTGAAGAATTATTTAAACCAACAAAGGACAGAGAAAGGCAGAAAGTATTATAAGAAAAAACTCTTGTGCTCCATTGACCCCCCCCCCCTCCCCCAGGGGTTATGTCATGATAGATTAATTGATCGATTGAATGTAAACTATCCCGTCGGTCGGGGTGCCAATTCGTGGCACTAGTCAACTACAGGTTGGGTTGAATCCAGGTGAGACCCATCCAACCATCAGTGGCGTAGCTAGTGCGGCCGCACCGGGCGCCGACCCTAAGGGGACGCTAAAGGGAGTAAAAAAAATAACTAAAAATCTCATTTTAAGCTAAAGTATTTAATTATACACAGTCAATTTTACGAAAATAAACTACTGGAAGGCTTTGCACACTGGTTTAACTGTTTTTGTGTCACCAAAATAAATTTTTTTTTACGGGATAGTAACTGGTAAGCAGCGCCACAAACTTTTCCAAATGAAGAGGAGGGGGGGGGTGCGCTTTTTCACAAATAGGAGTAACTATTTGAAAGTCCGACCCGGACGCCGGAATGGGTCGCTACGCCTCTGCCAACCATGCTAGCCAGTAAGTAAAGTGTGAACCCACCTGTAGTTCCGCCCGTTGTCTCGACTCTACTGTTACCTGGCCTGCCTGTTTATAGAGGGCAGGACATTACCCCCCCCCCCCCTCCTTCCCCCTCTAAAATCAATACCATATCAATCACCGCCACTAGTATAAAAAAAACTATTCCTTGTAGATTACAAATTAACCCTAAACATAATCCTTACCTTTAACCTCAACCGTAAAGTTAAGATCAAAGTTTGGGTAAGGTTTAGCGTTAAACCTGGGTTTAGGAAATTCTGAGCGATAATAAGCTTATTTTTACCTTGTATTGTGTTTCCCTGTTTGGCATTCTAGATTTCAGTTGAATGCTTAGCCTAAATACAAATAAAAAGGTTTTATGTTGTACTCTATCGGGGCATAGTGTGTATGTACTCTGTAGAAGATCCGGGTTTCGCGTTTTGACGGTAACACTATAGTAGGTATTCTCTAGAGGGAGGGGTAGGGTTGCACGACCAGGGGGTAACTGACATATAGGGGGGGGGGGGTACTGACAGAGCGTAATCAATCTGCAGGGTAATAGCAGGGAGGGGGCGTCGACACGGAGGGACCATTGTGCTAGACCCGTTCTGGCTAATTTGAACGTGGGGGGGGGGGGGGGGGGGGGTATAAGCCTGTTAGTTTTTTTCGAATTTTAAAAGTAGTGAATTTATACCAGAATTTATGGTTATGGCAAGGGACAGTTTTAGAGCTATGAATAGGGTTTAGTGACGGCTTTAAGAAATACTAGCTGGCCTAGCTTAGGGCTAGGATTACATTCGGGTTTAAAGTTACTATACTAGGAAAACTAATGTACGGATAGGTCTATGGCTAACAGCTGGGTTATTTTTGGCGATAGTTTATTTACATGCTGGTGTCAGTAACAAGCAGTGGCGTAGCCAGGATCGTCTCAAGGGGGGGGGGGGGGGGTTCCAATTTTTACCCG